AGTGTTAGCTTAGCTTTAGCTTAGCTTTAGCTTAGCTTCAGCTTAGCTTCAGCTTAGCTTTAGCTTAGATTTACCTTAGTGCTAGCTTAGCCTTAGCTAAGCTTTAGCTTAGCTTTAGCTTAGCTGCAGCTTAGCTTTAGCTTAGCTTCAGCTTAGTGTTAGCTTAGCTTCAGCCTAGCTTCAGCTTAGCTTTAGCTTAGCTTTAGCTTAGCTTTAGCTTAGCTTCAGCCTAGTGTTACCTTAGCTTTAGCTTGGCTTTAGCTTAGATCCAGCTTAGCTTTAGCTTAGCTTTAGCTTAGCTTCAGCTTAGCTTTAGCTTAGCTTAGCTTTAGCTTAGCGTTAGCTTAGCTTTAGCTTAGCTTTAGCTTAGCTTCAGCTTAGCTTCAGCTTAGCTTTAGCTTAGCTTTAGCTTAGCCTTAGCTTAACTTTAGCTTAGCTTCCGCTTAGCTTCAGCTTAGCTTTAGCTTAGCTGCAGCTTAGCTTTAGCTTAGCTTTAGCTTAGCTTTAGCTTCAGCTTAGCTTTAGCTTAGCTTTAGCTGAGCTTCAGCTTAGCTTTAGCTTAGCTTTAGCTTAGATTCAGCTTAGCTTTAGCTTACTGTTAGCTTAGCCTTATCTTAGCTTCAGCTTAGCTTTAGCTGAGCTGCAGCTAAGCTTTAGCTTAGCTTTAGCTTAGCTTTAGCTTAGCTTTAGCTTAGCTTTAGCTTAGCTCCAGCTTAGCTTTAGCTTAGCTTTAGCTTAGCTTTAGCTTAGCTTTGGCTTAGCTTCACGGTTGCTACTAATGCTGCTTTCCTAGGGGCTCCAACTCCTAGGTAGGGTCGCATTGGGATAATTTTTAAGAGCATTTCGGCATTATCGCCCCCGGCCCCCCGACGCTCCAAGACGAGCCAAGAAGTCCTCAATAGGCCGCCCCAAGACAGCCCGAGAGGCCTCCGAGAGAGCAGCCCCGGAACGATCCGAGAAGGCCCCGAGACCGACCAGGAAGCCTCCAAGACAGCCGAAGAGGCCCCCGAGACGGCTCCAAGGAAGAGCCCAGACGGAGGGCCCGGCCCCTCGAGAAGCCCGCCAAGAAGCCCCAATAAGCTCCCAAGAAGCCCTCGGGAAGCCCCAAGAAGCCCCCGCGAGGCTTCCAAGCGGCCCCCGAGAGCTTCCCAAGAGGCCCCCAAACTACCCCCAAGAGGCCCCCGAGAGCGCTCGTCGTCATCGTCGTCGTCGTCACCCTTCAGGGTCGGCGGCGCCGGCCGCGAGGCATTCGCAATGCTTCGTTGTTGGAGATAGACCTCGCTCGTCCTTCCGCATATCCTTTCGCCGCGCTGCCTTGCGTGAGACACCTGGGCAGCCGAGTCAGCGCCGAGCCCAGCTCGTCTGTGAAATTCTTGGGCAATATAGAAGCGGCGAGGCCAACCATCGCTGCGCTGTGCAATGAAAAAAGAAACGCACGCGGCGCAACTTGCGCGGGCGGTGCATCTGCCGCGCCTGTCCCATTGAACGCGATGCTAAGCGTGCTCCTCTGGCGCGGCCCTTGAGTTCCGCGCGCTGTGCCTCGTCGAAGCTGGCGGTCGGGCCCGGGGCCCGTGCTTCCCGAGGCGCCCCGCCTTTTCCGACGTCCTAGTTCCCGCGTCGCCTCGTCGGGGACCGCGCCTGCAAGTGCGATCGTGCGATTCCTTTTGTCTGCGTTCAGGTGGCGCCCGTTCCTGTGGGCGCGCTGCTGCGACGTGTCCGTGGCGTGAGTCAGTTGTTGTGCTACGTGCTTGGCTCGCGGTGCGCATGCGTGAACGCGCGCTCGCGATGCGTCGTCTACAAGCATTCCGATTCCTATGTCCACCGTCTCTTTGCTGATCGGGCGCTCTCCCCTGGTCAGCGCGCGCAAAGTCTGCGCCGCTCAGTTGCTCGCTCTATTCATTGACTGATGGGGAGTAGATGTCAATAAAGGCGCCTGCTGCCAGCGAGCGGTCCATGGTCGCGCCTTGCTGCGGCCAGAAGTCAGCCTCGCCGTCTATCGCATTGATGCGGATCGTGGCCTGATCAACTGCCTGTATCATGAGGTGCGTGCTCTCGTCTCTACTGCATGCGTGCTGATGTGCTTGTACTTTGTCTCGTGATGTGCCAGCGAATGCGTTCGTGCCGTCGTAGTTGGACATGCTGTAGCTTGCATGTGACGCGCAGCATCTCCAACGAGCTACTGCCATGCTTGGCGCGCCCCCCTCCCGTCGCCGTCCTCGAGGCCACCCGCGCGGGGCGCCCGGTGCCCTCGGCCTCCTGGAAGTCCTCTGAAGGCGTCGAAACAATGGAGTGCTCCTTGGCCCTTGATTCCCCGTTTGGAATCATCCTGGGCGCGGCGCGAGCCGGTGATCTGATGGCTGCGAGCGGGAAAAAGCTTGTCAAACGGACGAGCGCCAGCAGATCGCTGCGCCGCCTGGAGAGAGTTGCCAGCGCAAGCTTCTTGTCGCGTTGATTCGCGTGCCGTTCCCTGTTCATGCCCATTCGCAGCGCCTCCGCGAGTGCGCTCCATGCGGGCCCAGCTCTTCTTTTGGGCGCCTTCTCGAGGTAGGTGATCTGCCCTGCTCGATCTCGTCGCGCCAAGTCGGCCAACTCCGATGCGTCGTGCAAATGTGGTAAAACATATTAGTCGTCCACCCATGCCCCCCAGCCCAGCCGCCTGCAATCCATGCCTCCATGTTCTGGTGCTTGGCCGAACCCGTCCTTCCATTCCTTCAGTCTCATGCCTCGTTTCGGCGAAGATAAGAAACGTTTATTTGGCCCACGTCCTCGTCCAGCTAATCTGACTCTCAATCTGCGTGCCTCTTCGCGTCGTCCGCGTTTCCATGCTTGTCCTAGTTCTTCGCATATCGTATCGGTCTCCTCTTGCTGTTGTGATCTGCGTGGTGCCAATAATTTTCGTTATATGTCCTCTTGAGCTCGCCCTCCGTCGCGTCAAGTAAGGTGGTTCCGTCCCCGTGGAAACTCTGGTTCCCCGCCGCATGTGGTTGTTTTCGTAGCCGTCCTCTTCGTTCAAGAAGTTCTACTCTGCGTTGCCTTTGCTGCTCGCAGTCTACGGTGCGCTTCTTCTTTGCGGGGGGATTTTCCGCATTGCTGCACGATTGCTCGCTGAGAGTTTGCTCCGCGCCACCTGCGCGTTTCCCAGTTCCCATATATTCTTCCGTTCGTGCTCTGGCATGCTCGTCGTCTCTACTTCCAGTGCTTTAAGAAACCATATCCGCCCAATACCTGTGCTGTATGCTGCCATCATTTCGTCACGGTTGGCGGGCGGGGGACATTTTCCAACAATGCCGTCTGCGGTCGCATGTCAACCTCTACTCGCACTGGTTCATGATCATGTAAGTGTGTGCTCACGTATCTATGTGATATCGTGCCAACCCGACCTGTGCGTTGAGTCGTTGTATCTTTTCTCGCATGCTGCCAGGCCCCGCTATGTGGTCAATGTTGCTGCGGTGCTGGCCCTGGATGTAAGTTGGGCCCGTCTCCCAGTATGTATCGTGCATGTTGAGGTCGCCGTCCTGCAGGGATTCTCTGGCCAGCCGTGATACCTGCGGTTCCAGTGTTGTCTCCGCCGTGCCTGTTTCTTTGCTGCCGTGCGTGACGAGCCTATTGTCAGTCTTGTCTGTTTGTGCGCACAAGCTACAGCTCCAGTCACCTACCACCAGTGGAACACACGCGTGGCCAAGATTGTCCATGTCTTCTGGTATCAAACATATGATATTCTTGGCCACCTGTCTCAAAGGATGTGCGGCCACGCGATTGGGCGGTCTGTAGATAGGAGCATTGCAAAACGCGTCATGCCCGGGCGACCTGTGATACCCAAGCTGGCTGGCGGCAGGGCAACCTGCTGCAACGTGCCAGGCATACGCTTGTCATGCATGGTCGCCAGCCCGCACGGGTTTTGTATACATTTTTGCTTTGATAATTGGCACGGCGTGGCCGTCGCGACGTCGCTCTCTGCCCCTTTGCCCGTGCTAATACGCAGTTCGATGTCGGTGTTCTTCGTTTGTATCGGTATCTCCTCCTGTCTAGAGAAGTTCGCCCACTGCACCTTGTGAACGATAAACTCCATTGCGAAACCAACGAATGTGGTGAGGGGGGGAGTGTGTGATACGATACGCAGCTGCTGTCCCGAGCCGGCCCTGTCCATCGCGTGCAGCCCTCTCACGCCGTCGGCATCATGTGTTGTGATACCCATAGGCGCGGTGGGAGCTCGCTCGGGTTCTGGGTTCATAGAGTTCCTGAGGAAATGGGGGAGGAGGAGGGCGCCACAGAGCACGCAAAGCATTCATAGACGCATGCGCCAACTCTAGCGCGTGCGCCCCCGACCCCGAGGACTCCACAATCCCCCATTCTCTTCTCGTCCCCTCACCCCCTCCCTCCTCCAACTACACCTTTTCTCCTCCTCTAACTTCACTTACTGTTCCTTTCACTTCCTTGTCCTCACAATCCTCCTTCTCCCCTTCCTCTTCCTTCCATCACCACCTCCAACTGCTCCCCCTTTTCCTCTAACTCTAGCTGCTGTTCGCGCCCTCTTTTGTGATTAACCTCGTCCGTTTCAGTCTCATCCCAGCCCCTCCTCCTCAGATTCCTCCTCTTCCTCCTCCTCCTCCTCCATCCTTATCACCCTCAGATTCCGTTTCCTTCGCCTCCGCCTCCGCCTCCGCCTCTGCGTTCTTCTCTTCCTCACTTTCCGTCTTTGCATCTGTCCGTGTATGTGTTAATTACCGAAGCGTTTCTCCTTGTGTGTCCTTTTCGTCATCCTCCTCCGATCCCGTCCCTCCTTTTTTCTCCTCCTCCTCCTCGACCTCCGCTTCTTATAACGACTCCTCGTCCTCATCATCTTCTATCTTACCCGTCCAGGAATGGTCTCTCCTCCTGCTCTTTTTCCTCCTCTTCCTCCTCCCAGTCTTCGCCCTTATTGCCGTCGTCGTCCTCCTCCTCCTCACCCTCCTCATCCTCCTCCCTATCCAGCCTCCTTCTCCCCGTTTCTGATGCGGCGCCTCGCGCCCCCTGGCTTTCACCTCTGTCTTCATGGCGTGGGACGCGAAGGGCATAACCTTCTTCATGTCCTTGGAACGGTTAAAACGATGAGGCGCAAAGACAATGCAACAACTTGTTCCCAACCCTCCTGTGTGTGGGGTCCTCGTTTTGAATTCGCAGCGCGGCGCCTCACCTCCTCTTCCTTCTCCTCCTCCCCCTCTTTCCTCCTCTCCTCTTCACGGTTTCGGCGCTCGGTTTGGCACAACCCTCATGCGGTCCGCGGCCCCAGACGGGAGCTCCACCGAACGCACAGGGCACGCATGCGAACCCGGGTGCATGTTGGCACGCCCCTCATACGTTACGGTTACGTGGCCCCACAGGGAGCTTAACCGAAAGCCTCAGTGGCAAGGCCCACATGCGTACTAGGGTCCACCTTGGCACACCCGTCACACATTTCGTGGCCCCATACAAGGGAGCTCCACCGAAAGCCCCAATGCCAAGGTTCGCATACGCTCTCGGGTCCGTGTTGGCACACCCGTCACACGTTTCGCGGCATCATAGGGAGCCCCTATCGATGACCTCAGTTGTGGCAAGGCCCGCGTGCGTACGCGGGTCCGTCACACGTTTAGTGGCCCCAAAAGGGACCTCCACCGAGAGCCTTAGTGGCAGGGCCCGCATGCGTTCTCGGACCCATTTGGGCCTATGAAGGCACACCCTCACACGCTTCGTGGCCCCCTCAAAAAGGGAACTCCACCGAACGCCTTAGTGGCAGGGCCTGCATGCGTACTGGGGTGCATTTTGGCACGCCCCTCGCACGCTATGTGGCCCCATAGGGAGCTTCACCGAAGGCCCCAATGGCAGGGGTACTGCGGACCCCCCTAACGAGTTCTTGTGCATTTGGCGGCCCGTCGCCGGGGTATGTTTTCCGCAGCCTGGACAATAAAAAATAACAGCGTTCAAATGACATGACTAATGGCTTACCCGAGCGGTCGACCAGGGGTCTCCGTAAACACCGATTGCAGCTAGCTTCCCGTTGCCCCGCGATTCCAGCGCAGCCGCTCGTGACTCGTGGATGCAGAGCGGCTCGCGGCCATCACAAAACCAGATATACGAAATGGTTGCGAACACATGTGCAGACATACCGCTCTGCGCGCGCCTGGGAACAAAATGGCCCGGGGGTGATAAGAACAAGCTGGTGATGGCGTGAAGGAGAAAGAAGCGAATGATGAAGGGAGGAAGGGAGGACTAGCTTGTCACATCATGATGGCGATGACGAGCGTATGAACATGATTTGAGGTCAAGCTGGCTAGCTTGAAAGAATGAGCGGGCCCCGCCCACTCCCACCCTCACCCGGCAACGTACGAACCAATTCTGGCCAAATTAAGGATCGGCCTGGAGCGCGTTCCCACCTAGCGAACGAAAGGCGCTCGCGCGCGTGCGGCACCACTTTCGACGACTCGGCTAGCAGAACCATGGGCCGCGCACAGGCGGGATTGGACCTCTGAGAGAATCACTGCGCGGGGCTTTGGTGAGAGCACTATTCAAACTTGTTGCGCGCACGCACTTGTCCGACAAGGCTCGCGAAGGCAACACATGCGCTGCGGCCGAGCGGAAACGTCGCTTTCAAGCGAAACCTGCGAAACCGCCCGGGCGAGAGCCACGCTTTGCCCGAGAGGGCGCGGCCCCGCTTCCAACGACTCGGTAAGAGAGAAACATGCACCGCGCCCTAGCGGAAGCGCCACTTTCAGGCGAAGCCTGCGCGGTGATTGGGCGAGAGCGATGTTACGCCAAGGTGCTCAAGATCCTGCTGCTGGCGCACTGGCGAGCGACAGATGTGCGCCTCGCCATAGCAGCAATGCAAATGTCTGAAAACACACGCGACGCTGAATTAGGAACACCGTTTCGCGCGCAATTTGCGCCGCATGCCGCTGCGCCGGGCTCCGCCCAAGCATTTTACAGCGCCGGCCGCACACTGTCCATGGTGACAAGGATGTCGCTGGCATGTTCGTCATGTACTAAGATGCGCATCTTGTTATTGCTTAGACGCCTCAGACTCACACCCATAGCTTTCCTCCTCCTCGCTCTCTCTTCTTCACTCAGATTACTCGCGTACTTCACTCAGGCCCAATCATGACTTCAGACTCACTCGCACTCTGACTCACTCAGACTCGCTCACACTCAGACTCGCTCATCACACTCATACTCCTTCACACTCTGACTCACTGACAAGACTCACTCGCACTTAGACTCGCTCTGCTTTCAGAGCAGGGTGTGAGGATGTCTCCAGCGAGGCGCGGGTTTCAACACTCCCAGGGGGGAGCCGCCAGGTTGTTCCCACGAGCCCGTTCGCGCTTAGATTGTGGTGAAGTCTTGAGCAGTTTGCTGCGCTTCGTGTATAGCCAGGATCTCGGGGCGCATCTCTCCCATGGTTGGTGGCAGCACTAGGCCTGGAGCCTGCTGCTGCGCATCTTGATCCATGGGGGGTGCCAAATAACCATAGTGAGGCATCTGTCCTGGCACTCCTGATGCATATCCTGAGCCGCGTGTCGATTGTGACTGGTAGAAATCGTCGGCCGTCGCCCGAACATATGGGTTTTCAGGCAATGTTCCCACCCGAACAGCTCCACTCACCTGTGCATAATAATCCGGAAAAAGTGGATGATCAATTGGCGCTGCCGTTGGACGATCAGCAGCTGCTGGATCGTAAGTCGGATGGCTAAAGAATGCCGGCACATAACCACACCGATTGGGGTTGTCCGGAGAAGGATTTGGATCCGGTACATACTCCCACGGCGGCGTCCAGTTGGCACTAGGGAGGTCTATGCCGTCCCTCCGCATGCTCTGGGCGGCCTCACGCATCTGTCGGTGCATCCATTCCTGCTGACCAACTGAACTTCTCTGTATGGCCTGTTGGTCTGGAATAGCAGGTTGCCCCGCAATTGGACGTGGTGATGCGAACGGCGATGTTGCCTGTAGTGCCTGGTAGAACTGCGGATCCATACGAATACTTTGGAGCCTCGCCTGAAGGCTGTTGGTGCTCCCAGCACTCTGTGGGGTGCCAAATGGTGTAGTAGCTCTGCTCATAGGAGCAAACGAAGCAGGTTGCCCTGCAGGTACTGGCAGCTGTTGAACCTGGGCACGCCACGGATCATTATAGCGTATAACGTACCAGTAGGCGTAATACCACTCTGCGTAATACCCGTCACATCAGCGCTCTGAGCCTGTATCAATGATCCGTCAGATCCCCCTGCAGGTGTCCCTGCGTGGTATGCGCTCAGCATGGATACCTGTGAGAACGCCATAGGACGCGGCTCGGGACACTTCAAGTTACAGGGGGTATCTGGAACAAACCAGTTCTTTAATGATGATGCGTCATTGCGAACTTCGTACATCTCATCCATTTTAGTATTCGTGTACTTCTGATTGTCGTCCTCCAAATATATGTGATCTATCCACTTGTCCCAAACGATTGGACTGACAATTGTAACCTGGCAAGATCCCGATCAACTGGGCGATGTGAGTAGGAGGGATCCTGCCATCGCGGCCTGCTGTCATGACGATGTCGTTCGCCGAAACCTGCACTGGCATGTTGTCCCGAATCAGGTTCTTCGGACTAAGCATGGCCTCAGAACCCATGCGTAAACCAGACTGGATTCTACTCTCCCCAGGAAGGTTTGGGCATCCTTGCACATACTGCCCGCCTCTCTTCTTAATGGTGTCGTCGGCGCGACAGGATAGACCAATACTGAAAATATTCGGCAGATTCTCCCATTGAGTTCCATGAATGAAATACGAGGCGCCCCAGGTGCTGATAAGTCAGTGACCCTCAAATATAAGTATTCTGGACACCTGATGCCAGGACTGCTGTGTCCGTTGGACGGGCGGATGAAGTGAGCGTCGTAGTTCATATCTGAGTGCTCATCTTCTTCATCTGCAGCCTGTTCTTTTTCATTCCGGACTCGTCTATCATGCCGATGAGCTCCAAGACAGCATAGGCCTGATATGCCCAGTGACGATGCTTAAGCAGACGACGTACCGTGTCGAGATGCCTATCACGGTGATGTTCGCACCCTTCTGCGGGCCATGTGTTGAGTAGCTGCGATAAGTTTGCCCAACCGTCGCACTCGTCAGAGGACGTAACTTCACGAAAACATCTGTCTGACAAGTGACCACGATGAAATGGTTTGTGACGGAGGGCTGTTGTCAGCCACTCAGACACCTCACGTTGTTCTCCATGCTGGAACCTTGGCCTGCGAACATTGTCCGTGTTGAGGACGTTCTTCAAGTATTCCATTTTCTGAATCCAACGTGAGGATAAGGCGTTTCCGCAGGATGTTGCGCGCTGCTTGGCGCGTGCGCGCGTGCATCTTCGTCAGCATGGACAGCAGTGTCCATGATGTTGTACTGCACAGCCATGTAGCGATCAGATCCATCGTCAATTCTCGGATGATATGCTGGGTTGATCTTCGCGCGGTTGCCTGTGCGCATCCTGTCCCTGTATTCCTGGCACTCCGGTGGTATTTCCAGCGCAAAGGCAGGTTGCCCCGCTGGAATGCCAGCGGGGTGCCCCGCAGAGCTCTGAGCAGGTTGCCCCGCAGAACGTGGGGCAGCCTTTGGCGCTGGCGCTGCAAACGTTGCTGCGCACGCAGCTGATGAAGAAGCACCAGCGGAACCTCTGAGCGTCCGTGGAGTTCCTTGCGGAGTACTGATGTCGAAGTCCTGGTGTTTCTTCTCCGTGGAGTTGTAGACCTCGGTATCTTATCCCTGGGCGCTGTTCCTGGTACCTTCGGTGTAGTAGCAAGGAGTTTCTCAGTGTGCCTCTTGGAAGATGCAGCCCCTGTTCCTGCCTCCAAAGTAGGCGCCCATCCTGTCCGGTGTCCGACCAGGTGTGGGGCCGCGACGTGGAGCAGGACCCTTTGGAGTAGGCTTACTGGTGCCTTGGAATCTGGCTGCTGCAGCGGTCACTGCTGGTCCTCTAGATCTTTGTCGATCAGCATGTTGCTCAGCAGGTTGCCCTGCTAATCTCTTGACGTCCCCAGGATTAAGATCATCGCCTGGACTCTTACCCTTCCTCTTCTTGGGTTTAGGA